CCGTAACTTCCTTCAGAATGAACATCTTCGAAATCCGAAAACAGTATTGTGTTCAGCTCGTTAAGCCGAACCTTTCTGTATACAGCATGTCCTTGAAATTCCATTTCCAATTTTTTCAAAATTTTCTGCGCGCCTATATTCGCAAGGTCGCAACGCAGCGCACATCAAACATAAAAGACTTTAATAAGCAATATTGGATTGTGCTGCTCCCGCAGATTACCGAGCGCTAAAAACGAACTGAAGAATCTTTTTCGAAAAAGATAGAAGAGCTGGTGAATTCTGGAAAAATCGTGTTGTGTCAAATTTTGCCCACTGTAACCCTAAAATGGGAAGCTCTCCTGCTAAGCAGATGTGCTTTTCGTAATCAGCAGGTCAGATAACCCCTTTGAGCGAAGTTTCCTTATAATCCAAGATCATCGACATTTTGACCAAAACCCATCGGCGAGCTTCAGGGCGTAGAACGAGAAAAAATCAAATCACCCGAATTTCTTTGAAAACTTGCTCATAGAGGGTATCTGACCTGCTGAATACGAAAAGCACATCTGCTTAGCAGGAGAGCTTCCCATTTTAGGGTTACAGTAGGCAAAATTTGACACAACACGATTTTTCCAGAATTCACCAGCTCTTCAATCTTTTTCGAAAAAGATTCTTCAATTCGTTTTTAGCGCTCGGTAATCTGCGGGAGCAGCACAATCCAATAGTGCTTATTGGATCTTTTATGTTTGATGTGCGCTGCGTTGCGACCTTGCGAATATACGCGCGCAGAAAATTTTGAAAAAATTGGAAATGGAATTTCAAGGACATGCTGTATACCGAAAGGTTCGGCTTAACGAGCTGAACACAATACTGTTTTCGGATTTCGAAGTTGTTCATTCTGAAGGAAGTTACGGCTAGTAGAACTTGGAACAGCTTGATTTTTCCAAAGTTTATCAGCTCTTCTATCTCTTTTAAAAGAGAGTCTTCGACTGCTGTTTAACGCAGAATAATCTACTGAAAGAGTACTATCGAAGGGTGCCCGCCGCAGTCTCCTAAGTGTGATGCTTGTTGCGTTACACCCACGCGAAAAGGCGTCCGCATGCAGATTCAAGATTATTGAAAAGAGGATATTGGAGACAAGCTGTACACCAAAAGATTCGCCTTGACGAGCTGAATACAATGCTGTTTTCGGATTTTGAATATACTCATTCGGAACGAAGTTATGGCCCTGCGTAATTTGCGTGATTTACATGAATTTCGCGAAATTTCGGGAATGTCGCGAAATTCCGGGAATGTCGCAAAATTCCCGGAATTTCGCGAACCTTCGCGGAATTCTCGGAATTCTGCGACATTTACGGAAATTTTGCACATTCTATGAGCGGTATTGTAGGGGTGTAGGACGATTCGCACGATCGTAATGCTTTCCACTCAGGACCACTGCCGCGCGCGACACACCCTGCGGCGGCTTTTGCCTAAGCAAAACAGGGGGAGGAAAGGTTTGCGGCGTGCACTACTTGTTAAGACACGTCAAAATCAGGGAGACTCTGGAGACCTCCCGTGCGTAAAGACCGTCTCCCGTATTGTAGGTGACTACAAATGCTCTTTTAACTTACCGGAAATAATTGAAAAACGTGTCCAACTGGACCAAAACATGTCAATTTTTTCTTGACACGTGGCAGGGAGGCTGTAATCGTAGAAATTATAAAGTGTTTTCAAATTAAATAGCGTTTTTGTGGCCCTTTAAAAAAATGGGTCCGGATAACGGAAAAGTACTAAAATCTCAAACGCTACAAAAAAAATGTGAGACATGTTTTTTTACAAAATAGTAAGCTTCTTCAGTAAAAAAGCAAAGTTTGTGCTGATCGAGTTTTTACATGCAAAGTTACGATCTTCGAGGAAAATGCAAAAAAGCCAAAAAAATTCTCTGATAGCACTAAATTTTTGAATAATTTATTTTAGAATATTGAAAGTCTGAGAAGCTCTTATATTCGATTATCTCTAGAGTTTCTTGTCGTCAAAGAAATAACAAACGGAAAGGAACTAACTTATACGACTAAAGATCATCTGTCAATTTAGGTCCTAACTATGAAATTACTTGAAAAAGGCATTAAAGGCAGCGTCCGGGCAGATTCTCAACTTCCATATACTTACGTTATCCAGCCTTTTTCATGGGGCTAGTACTCAAAAAGCACGGATTTCTCAATAACCACTTTTTTCGGGCTATTTTATGCAAAACCGGACATGTGCTTTTGATGGTACCCTTGTTGAAAGAAAGCATTTGCAAACGCTTGTGTTCAATTGCGTTTGCCACATGAAAAAGCGTAAAGGGCTGAAGAGAGTTCGTTTTAAGGGGTTGGCCGTGCGAGAAAGTAGGCGTGGTCTTCAAGGCTCGGACGTCTGCCCGGACGCCGCTTTCAAGGTTTAGCTACTAGAAGCTGCTATAAGAATTGCTCGAGTTTGGGCATGCCACTCTCGCGCGTTAGCAAGCGACCAAGATTAGAGGAAATAAGCTTGAACAATACTTTTACATCGTTTTTTGCGTGTATCACATTGATTTTATGTTGGACAATCGACTACAACTTCTATCTTGCTGACTTCAAAAACAACAAGAAAACATTTTTTGTCCTTATATTCAATCACTTTTTCTGGCAAGTAAGTGTTTTTGGCATGGATGTGACAACTGGTTTGCTTCAAAACACTCAAAAAGCTCATTGTACTTCAAATTTTTTATATACTTTCCAGTTACCTTCTTTACTTCTCTAAGGACCGCATGCACTAACATCTGCGCGGGGAGGGGATCGCAGCATAAAAGAAAGCTTTATATTTCGAAACTCCAGATATCTGGATTTCACGTTATGTACCTATCCGTAAGTATTCCTACTACCCTTCACTATAAACATGTTGAAGAGGAGCGAGCAGCTGTACGAATCGCATTTTCCAGCTTTTGTATGATCCCTGATAATTCCCGGCGCTTTTCTTTAAAGTCATTTTTCCTTCTCCGAAGTTAACGAAAACCTTCCAAAGTTGTACTGAACATCTAACACAACAGTGCTAAACATGTTGCTGATGAGAACAAATGAGTTTTTGAAAAGTCGTATTTTTCGGTAAACCTCAAATTTCGACCTGTGGATCATCGAAAATTTCATGACTTCAAAACATCATTTGCTCTTTTCAGCAACATGCTTAGCACTGTCGGGTTAGATGATCTGCACAACTTTGGAGGTTATTCGTTAACTTCGGAGAAAGAAAAATGACTTGAAAGAAAAGAGTGGAGCAGGGGGGGGGGGAAGCTTGGATAAAAAACCGTGAGCTTAGAAAAAATTCGCATCATATATATAAAGCTGAATGTGTCTGTATGTCTGTCTGTATGTATGTACGTATGTGCGGAATACAAACTTTTATTTCTGAACCGATTCTGACCAAACTTGGCACACATACACTTTGGGGCAGGGAGCGTGTCATAGGCTACTTTTCGTTATCGATCGATTTTATCGGCTTTTATCGATTTTTCTGCAAAGTTCACCTATGGGGCTGGGAGTTGGCACAGGGGGGGGGTAAGTGAGCATGCTGATTACGAATACAGTATTAGTTTTTGGTATTGCCTACTACTTTTATCGATTTTATCGATTATTTCAAAATTTGAGCTGAAGGGCTGGGAGTTGGCACCGAAGGGGGCGGGGGTAAGTGGGCATGCTGATTTCTAAAACAACACAGGGAACGAGAAATGAAGTGTAAAAGTGGGCACAGGGAAAGGCTGTACAGAGTAGGGATGGGACCTTTAATACAGTGTTTTGACAGGGCCGAGCGGAGCCGGGTAAGCAAGCTAGTAGCAGACAATTATGCTCTTTACAGTTTATTCATAAAATGCTGTGTATCTTATATTAGGTTGAACCGAAAGTTCTGTCGCACCATTTTCAAAAAATCATAACTTCTTTCGGTCACGACGATTTTGCACAACTCAAATTTTGCCTGAAAGCGTAAAGCATGTAGTTTACAAAGATCCTCTGAGGACTTTCCAACATGTTTAGTTTGCAGAGATAAAAATGAAAGAACGAGATCATCCGAAATCCGGAATTTTTAAGCAAGAATTCTAGAAATTCAGAAATAGTGCGATAGAATCTAGAAAAATCATTATTTTAATTTTTCTTACATTTGATTACTATCTGAGTCAAGTTTGCGTTGATTGAGCCCTTCTTTCAAAAGTTATGATTTTTTGAAAAATAATACCGAAAAATCAATTTCCTAAGAATTCTTAAGAAATGGATTTTTTGGCATTTTTTTTCAAAAATTCATAACTTCTGAAAGAAGACCTCGATCAGCACAAACTTGGCTCAGATAGTAATCAAATGTAAGAAAAATTAAAGTAATGATTTTTCTAGATTCTATCGCACTGTTTCTGAATTTCTAGAATTCTTGCTTAAAAATTCCGAATTTCGGATGATCTCGTTCTTTCATTTTTATCTCTGCAAACTAAACATGTTGGAAAGTCCTCAGAGGATCTTTGTAAACTACATGCTTTACGCTTTCAGGCAAAATTTGAGCTGTGCAAAATCGTCGTGACCGAAAGAAGCTATGATTTTTTGAAAATGGTGCGACAGAACTTTCGATTCAACCTAATATATAAACCTTGATGGCTATTTGCATGTCTGTATGCATGTCTGTATGTATGTATTTTCAAAATAAAAATTTTTATATCTGAACAGATCGGGATCAAATTTTACGCACATATACTTCGGGAAGAGGCGGGTGTCATACACTTTTCATTATCAATTGATATTGATTTTACCATTTTTTGTAAAGTTTGCCCTGCGGTGCTGAGAGTTGGCACAGGGGGGGTAGTCGAGCATGCTGATTATAAATACATAACTGGATTTCGTAGTTATCTATTACATTCATCAATTTTATCGGCTTCTGCAAAGTTTGAGCTACGACTAGCTAGAACTTTTCTCAAAAACACTGGGAATGGCAATGATGTTTTTTTTTCGTAAAATTTTGAGAACATAATCTTATACTCAGCATTACAGCAAACTCCACATGAACACTGGAAAGACAAGTATCCCTCATGGAAGTGTGCTGATCTGCCAAGGACTACGGTTGCGATGGAAACTCATTATATGGACATACCAGCAATGGCGCGCCGTAATTTGATATGCTCGTACGGTGAGTATCATATGCGAAATTTTGACTTGCATTTTTTAACATCTGGCAGTAATCTTTTTTCAAAAATAATGTTCACTGCTGACCTTTCTTTTTGGAATGCTATTCTGGGCATGGTAAGGACGGATCGTTGGTCTTCAGTGCTATGCAATAAAACGCAGAGCAAACGTCTGCAAATGCGATTCCTGATTGAAAATTTTCAACGATCTGAAACCTACCCCAAAAACACACTTCGCCTGATCATCATCGTCATATTGAGTCGGCTCAAAATTTCATTTCGTGTTTGCTATAAAAATAAGTGGTATAGGCAAACGCTATAAAGGCTGTTTAACGTGGCTTTCTTCAGCAGTCACTTTGCTGAACTTTGGTAGTCATCAAATTAATCGCCGACATTACTGATTCGTGTTTTTTCAACGTATCTTTGACATGTTTTCAAAATTTTTGTCTCAGACTTGTTGGAGAGCTTTGATAACAAAAAATAGAGACAAAGCGCAATATAAGCTTTAAAAACATGTGTCGGTTGGAGCATTTTTAGATACGATGTCCCCCATGATTTCGCGGAAATTACGAAGTCCTTTTGACGGAAAAGTCAGTCAAGAAACGCCTATTTAATCAATATAACAATGAAAAGGCGAAAAAAAGCGCATTTTGAGGTATCTAATATAACAAAAAACCAAAAAAATGAAGGGCTGATCAAAGGTTCCGATATTGGGTATGGTAGCATTTCAGTGTTCAGAATGTTGAAAACCTCTTAGGCCAGCCAAATCTGTGGCCTCGACAATCTGGCGATGCATTTTTCGCATTTTTCGTAGGCCTGCACTATTTTTGGCTAAAAAAAAGAGGAGAGGTGATGGTATTCGCTCTCTCCGCTATATGACGGAATTTCAAAAGCGCTCTAGTCCATATGAATAAGGCGCAAAACTTACCCTCGATATCATCCCATATGTCTTCCCTCAACATGACGTGGATTACGTGGGTTGATGAGGCGCCGCTTCGCTTCGGGCTCGCGCCACGTTGCGAGCGCATCGTTTGAAGCGACGTGGCGCTCAAACTAACGTGGCGCAAGGCTTTTCCATGTTGTTCTTGTTGCCACATCACGCCGAAGATGCGCACGCAACGTGGCGCGTGCCCGAAGCGAGGCGGCGCCTCATCAAGCCACGTAATCCACGTCATGTTGAGGGAAGACATATGGGATGATATCGAGGGTATGTGGACTCCGGCATTTATGCTCGAAACCAACCCAGTTGGTTTTGTGTTGGTCTGAAAACCAACAAATTCGGAAACGGGTATAACGACCGAAAGTTTTTGAAACTTTTAACATAGTATAGTTTGAAGTAATATTGTGTACACATAGTCCAAATTTTGGTGTTATGTGGTTGTTTATGCTCTGTGAACAAGCCAATCGTTTGTTTGAGTCTTGCGTTTGAAATTCGCGCGTTTGTGAAAGAACACGTTCAACTTGTAAAACCTGACATTGTCGTTTTACGAGTTGAAAGTTTGCCGTTTTTTGGCGCTTCGCCCAGAACCTTGTAAAAACAATGTCCCCGTTGCTTCTAACCTCAAAAACAAAATCTTGTTTAACCCCCGACCACCTGTGCCAAGCTCTGCCTCCAGCTTCGGGGTTGGATGTGCCCAAAAATTATACTGCACGTTTTAACGGCCATTTACAAAACAATTTTTCCCTCTTTGCTTTTGCGGATTTTTGTCTGCACAAACGCATAAAATCAAGAAAATACTTAGAAATTCATTATGGTATTTCCTCTGCAAAAGATCCGCCTTAAAATGTTGATTTGCTAAAGGAGGAAAAGCTGCATTGAATAATGCGAGTTTGGCTCAACCGAATCCAAATATTGCATTAAAATTTCTTTCAGATTTTTGAAAAGTCATCCATAGTTACATGAACTTACTCCCTCCATATTGCACATACTCAACATTTGCTACTGAAGCTTCTCTATAAGTCTTGAACAAGGGTTTTCTTACTTTTATGGAACAACACTCGCTGGAAAAATCATGATTCAAATTAGTCGCATAGAAGAACGTGCGAAATTTGGTTAGTATATACCTTTTAAGGGCATCACTGTATGTGTACCATATGTGCAAAAGGTTATGCAAGCAATACGCTTTTTTGTAGTGTTGTGCAATTGCACGACATCACCTCAAAGGTATGCAGACGGGTGCGAGGAGCAACTCAGTCGCCGCTTTTATTCACATCTTTAAACAATTGTGCCAACAAAAATTGCAACGATTTCTTCGCTTGAGAATTACAGGGGCCGAAAGGGTAGGGTTCTTGTGCCTTCCTGCTGAGCAAGCGATTGCATATTCACTCAGCTTTTCACAGTGATCTTTGGGTACATATGCTCCGACAAAAAAGGCAGAAGGCTTTATAGTGAATATTTTCAGCAAAATACCTATGTTTTTATGTGAACAAACATATTGATTTTTCCTAAGCGGTGAGAAAGCAGTTCTTGAGTGCCTGAGACGAAGGCTATCGTGTACGCGCTTTCCACCGCCAAACTCCATAACCGTGTCCCTATATAAGAACATATTTTTGTCATAACATGACTTCGTTCCATTTTGTAAAGCTCTGCAATTTATCAAGTACCGTCTGCAAAAGAGGTTACTTGAAACTCAAGACAGGTGAAAATTACATCCAGAGGTCATATTATGAACTACACAGATCAAAGCTAGACAATTTACAGAAGCTCTTTTGACCTCAGGTACACCTCCCAATCTTCCGCCTGTCAAGCTCGAAGAACAGTGCAACAAATTAGCTCATTGGGATTCAGACAAGGGAAGTTGCGTTTGTAATGATCCTAGTGCTGATGGAAGATTGAAATATCCAGAAAAGTTCAAAGACTACCCAGAGGTGACAAATTCGTACAACTTTTGCTGATGCTGCTCATAGAACATGCTGCTGTTGAGGGAGCGGTCTGTTTTGATTGTGAAAACGCAGTCATAACTAGATCGATTGTCTTTATTCTCGACGGTAGTGGTACAGTTACACCAGAAGGATGGAGACGAGTGAGTTTTTTGTTACTCTCAAAGTTCATCGAATTTTGCTAATGTCAAGCAAAGAATGCGAGACAAGAGTAAATTTCAGCAGAAGGAATTCATGATGAAAGTGATCAAATATATAAAAAATGTTAGAGTTGGATTGGTAGTGATTAGTGCTCGTTCCTATCCAGAAATACTGATAGATCACTTCGAAAACGTCAAATTTAGGTTCGAGTGAGTGTTTTATAATAGGATAAGCTTTTTGAAATTTTTTTTTGAAGATTTTTTTCAGCTTTCAACATTTTTACTCACCTGAATACTTAGATGGCCCGTCTTCACGTGGCGTGCGGGCCTCAGCATAAAAGTTTTCATTTGTCCCTGCCCCTCGCTTCGTACATCCAGAATTTTCTTGGTTGACGTCGGTGGCTGCGTCTACGAGCTTCAGGTGCGAAAATCATATCCAGCTCATTTCTCAGCTAGTCAATCCGTTCCACGAACACGTCTGCCCATCTCGTCGGGGGTCTTCCTTGGGGACATTTGGCTTTGGCAGGAATCCACTCAGATGTTTTCGTGTCCATCTATCGTCTGTTCTTCTCATGATGTGACCGGCCCATCGGTGTTTCGCTTTCGCAACGTATTCCGCTGGGTCACGAAGACGGGACATTCTTCCCATATCCGTACTGCGAAATCCGATTAGATGTTGTTCGTGTCGGGTCATCTTTAGAAGTCTACGCTCCAGCGCTCTGTGGGAGTTTCTTAGAGCTTTCGACGTGCCTACGGTGCCAGCCCTAATCTCAGCTGCGCAACAGAACATCGGGAGAACGGTTGAGTCAAACAGGGGGCAGGAAGCTCCAAGTCCGTCAGTTGGTCAGTGGCCCTTCAAAGGTCCGAAAGCGGTTTAGGCTGATCTTCTTTTCCCGTCAAGTTCTTCCTTCAAGTCGTTCTCCATGTTCATCGAACGTCCGAGATACACGTAAGAAAACTTCTCCATAATCGGGGTGCCTTCCAATTCCATTTCTGCATCTTCGCAAAGGGCGTTCTTCATGAACTGAGCCTTCTTCCGATTTATTCGCAATCCGATCTTCTTCCCTATCGTTTAGTTCCTGCAGCACCTCTCTGCTTTTGTGATACTGCTCGAGAAAAGAACGATGTCGTCCGCAAAACGAAGGTTGGACAGGAATCCATCAATTCGTTCCTCCTCTCATCCCAGTCCAGGGATTTCATCACCCACTGCAAGGCCGCGGTGAACAGCTTCGGCAAAATAGTGTTGCCTTGTCGAACTCTCTTCTCAACTGGAGTGGTCAAAGAGCGATGGGATAGCTGCATCGTTGTTGTACAGTCCCTGTAGCAATCGGCTAGTCCTCACATGAGCTGGGTCCACTCCTTGATCGACTAGCGCTGGCAGAATGGCTTTCGTTTCGACGCTTAGTCGAAAGGCTTTCTCGTAGTCGACGAAGACTAGGACGAGAGGCAGTCAGTGTTCCCTCCTGCTATAACTCTCGAAACTCTAAATGTGGTCCATGCAACTGAATCCTTTGCAGAATAGCTTATTCTCGGATCGGGCTTCATCCAGTGTCCTAGATATGAGAGCAAGGATAATCTTCGTGAAAAGTTTGTAGAGCACACTCAGCAGACATATTGGACGGTAACTCCGAAGATCTTACCGTTCGCCCTTCTTGAAGAAAAGGACGGTTCTTGATGTTCTCACTGGTCGGAAATCTTCTCCTTCTGAAGGTAAGATGTTAAGTGCGACGCTACTCGTGTAACTAGTGTCCTCCGGCTCGCAGTAGTTCGACGTAAGGATGATCTGGTCTTGGAGCCGCGAAGGTCCTCAAGGTCTGTATCGCGCTAAGCACTTCAGCAGGTAGAATCCTTGATGGTATGTCTCCGGTGGGGGCAACGGGAATCGGCGCGGATGATGATGAGCAGAGGTTAGTGTAAAAGTTCTTCGCGATAGATTCCATCTTATATCGGAAAGGAGTCGGAGTCCTGTCTTCGTTCAGTAGTGCAGCCAGCAGAACACGATATTCGCAAGGGTCTTCAGCACTTCTTGAGACTTCGTCTTCCTTCGGCTGCTTCCAGTATCTTGGCTTGCCTGTACTTCCTGAGATCCTCCAGCAAAGCTGTTCTGCAACTGGCGTTGGCTATCAGTCGCTCGAGATGAGCTGCATTCGGATCCTGCCTCAAAAATCTTCTTCTTTCGAGCAATTCCTTGGTGTTTTTCGAAAAACGATCCAAGTTCTTCTCAAAACTCACTGAGGTGCACTTTTCGCAGGCTCGCAATCCTTTCAAAAGCCGGTCGTAGTCGTACGTTGGGTCCTCATCGATGGGCCAGTAACAACCTGATATGAGCTGTTCTAATCTGTTACCGTCATAAACGTTCTCCCTCTTGCGGCATTGAGGCAATTTTCCAGCTTTCGACTGAATCGTACCTTCGCTCGAAGCAGGCGGTGATCGGAGCTGCTACAGAAGGATGGAACTACTGAGACAACAAGCAAGCTCCGCCTTCGGTTGGTGAGAATGTGGTCGATTTCCGCGTGAGTCGTTCGGTTGGGCTATTTCCAAGCCCACCGGCGATGTTCCTTCTTGATGAAGATGAAATATCATGGAAAAGTCGTGCGGCGGAGAGAAGCCCAGCGAGAAGATTGCCGTTTTTGCTCCAAAGCTTATCAAACTTCCCGATCCTATAAGTCTCTTCTAGAGAACTTTTAGAAGGACTTCTTGTTCCGGGCGACCTGCTCTATGTCTCCGTCGAAAGCATCTAGATCTACATGTCACTGCTGATGTTGGTGAGTAGCAGTTGATGATGCTGATGGTCTTCTAACGTAAAGGTCGTAGTCGTAGGATGGCCAGTCGAGGTGACAGGATCTCATTCGAATCGACAAGATGGACGATAGATGGGTGGACACAAAACCAACGCCTCCAACGTTTCGTGATGGAACCTTTTCACCACGAATGATGGAGGGTCCCATCACTCATCTGTCGCCCCTCCTTTTTCCTGGACTTCGTTTCCTGCAGGGCGATGATGTGGTAGTTGATTTGCTCTGTAGCGTTCCAGAAGACCGTGGAGGTAGGCGTTTGTGAAGCTGCCTTGTCGTTGTAGGTGCAGAGCATGAGGCAGTCTCCATGGCGTGTCGTTCGGGCAGGCGTGTCGTTTTTGTCCAATCCAAAAGGCGAAGACCCTGACATCGTTTTTGCTACCACCCGGGCGCCGTTGGCGGGATCCGATGTACAGGGTTTATTTCTCTTCATTTTGCTGATCAAGTTATAAAAATTTTTCCCCTACAAGAGCAGACTTACTAGGCCAACTCTTGATTTCACGTGGCAATCTCTAATTCGGGTGTGGAGCGGGGATTACTGCCTAGCGACCGGAGAAAGTCAAAGGCGGGGAATCTGGCCTGGCCGGCTCTTAGGTAGGCATCCGGCCGAAACCGGAAACGTCGAACTCTTTCACAGCTTGCGAGGCCCTACTAAAGTATACACCGACTGTGCATCGCAATTCAACACCCACTGTCACCCCCACGTCACGTTGAGGCGGCCGACCATTGTGGGGAGCATTTATAAGCCTATGATTTTTATCGAATTCTTTTTACCAATGACCTTTCATGCACTAAAGTGCTAGAAATCAAGCGGCTAGTTTAGCACTAAATGCAGCATAGAGCACTGCCTCTTCTTGTGGACTAAGTTATGAGCTGTTATATTGCAAGGAAATTGTTTATGTAAAGCGAATTCGGATATACAAATTCATGTTTTGCCTGATACTGGACCAAAACATGCAGCTGGATGACTTTACTTTATAATTCATTCACAAAGTGAGCTAAAAAGGCAATAATGTGTCCGTTTTCGCATTTTTTATGTACGACTTCCTTGTGACAACGCTGCTCATACTTCTCCACAAGGGCCTTCAGCAGATATGGAATAAAGATCTGAAGTCGGCATTTCATGCCGCATTCAATGATGTGCAGTGTTTCAGTTGGGACCAGGGTAAAGCGTGCTGATGCGATCCGGGACCCTCATTTACGACCCCCCCCCTAAAAGTACCCATCCGTACAACCCCCTCCCCTCCCCTCCCCCCTCCCCCACCTGCCCCTATTCCCTCTCCTCCACTTCTTTTTGCAGTATCCTGCATAAACGAGTGTCAATCTCAAAACATGCCTGCCAATGGACCTCAATCAAAATTATATGTCTAAGAAAGATAACTACTCACAAACTGGGAGATAATGCAATTAGTGCTTCACCACTTGAAAAACAAATAATCCTACGTAAATTGGGCAAGTAGTAAGATTTTACAAATTGGCTAAGCTTATTGGGTTTGGGAAAATGTAAAATATGAATGGAAAGGGCATTGTTTGACAAAGCAGAACATCGATTTTGATCTGAATGGTATTTAAGCTGTACTCTACTTATAAAAAACTAGCTGGCTTACCCGGCTCCGCCGTATGTTCCGAATAGAAAATTCCATTTCTTAACCGATCCGGACTAAACTTGGCACACATACATTTCGGGCCCCGGCGGGTGTCACAGTCCATTTTTCGTTATCGATCGATGTCGATTTTATCGATTTTTTGCAAAATTTGAGCTAGGGGGCTGGAATTTGGCGGAGGGGTTTAATAGAGCATGCTGATCACCCCCGCGGGGGTGATCAGCATGCTCGATTACCCCCCTGTGCCAACTCCCAGCCCTATAGCTCCAATTTTCAAAAATCGATAAAATCGATATCGATCGATGACGAAAAGTAGCCTATGACACCCGCCGGGGCCCAAAGTGTATGTGTGCCAAGTTTGGTCCCGATCGGTTCAGAAATGGAATTTTCTATTCGGAACATACGTACATACATACAGACAGACATACAGACATACAAACAGACATTCAGCTTTATATATAAGATGAAATAAAATAACAACCAAAACAAATTCAGCATAACGGAACGGTTCACTTCAGTCATTATAATTGACGATTTCATAATAAGTAGAGGTTAATAAACTTTTTGCTGTTTATGAATATTCGGCGTAATCCTTTCATGTTCCAGTGGTACCGAAACATATAGACTATGGATCTGGAAATTATAACGTTTTAGACTTTAATGACAGTCCTGTGTTCTATCCCCGTACGTGGCAATATTTTTTTGTAGAGGGAGAAAAAACGATATCTTTGAAGCGTAAAAATTGTTTTCGACCGAAAGCTTACCTTCCATCCATTGCACAGATTCTCCTGCAAAAAAAAAAACGTTTTAGCGCCTTCCAGAACGATGTCAAAAACGTGCATGAGCACGGTACTTTGAAAATTCGTGATTAAAGTCAGGAAAAGAATAAGAGGCTCCAATGGAGGGATTCTGTAGTACAGTGCTCAGGCAATTGAAGGCAAATGTTACAGCCACGCAGGAGCAGTAAACTAAATTTAGATGCTATCCTAGAAGCCAAAAACTGGGATTTTTGAGCTCAAAATTCCTTAACTCACTGGAGACGCAAAGAAACAGCCCGAAATTTTTAGGAAAAAAAAGCAGGAGGATGGCGTCGTAATACAGCAAAATTGCAGCAAGCAGCCTCCATAGCGGCAAAAAAATTTGGATGCAATACGACCCCCTATTTTCATTTTTTGTTGCCATATACAAAATTTAAAAAAATCCACAGGCTATCATCTTATATATAAAGCTGAATGTCTGTTTGTCTGTATGTATGTATGTCTGTATGTCTGTGTGTACGTATGTTCCGAATAGAAAATTCCATTTCTGAACCGATCCGGACCAAACTTGGCACACATACACTTCGAGCCCCGGCGGGTGTCATAGGCTACTTTTCGTCATCGATCGATATCGATTTTATCGATTTTTTGCAAAATTTAAGCTACGGGGCTGGGAGTTGGTACAGGAGGGTAATCGAGCATGCTGATTACGAATAAAATAATGACAGGGCCGGGCGGAGCCGGGTAAGCCATCTAGTAACTTGTAATAACGGGCTAAGGGTGTTTACGTGACTTTGTGTGTGTGTGTCTGTCTTCTGTCTGTAACGAAATTCATACAGCGGGTTCCAGTCAACATCCCGAGCCCAAATTTTGCATAGCGCATGCTACCAACGTAGAACTCCACCATGCAAAAGCACGAACGGATTCGTTGGGTGAATCCCTCAGAATTTGCGCGTCAAATGAATTCACTTGGCTTCTGGCCCGCGAAATTGGGTCCGTATCAACGCTTTTTGCAAAGCCGTGGATGTATTTAGCAGGTTGATGTGTAAGCCGTGGACTTTAGACCGAAAAGTGATCAAAGGTTTACTACTTTACGAAAACGACGCCAAAAAAATGGTCGCGTAAATGGTCAATCCGCCGTGGTTTTACTAGAGCATTTGAGAAGATTTTTGCATAGAGATGTGGCTCACGATAACTACTGTCCTCATGGCGATAACCAAGCCAAAAAACTTTCCAACCTATTCAAATTTGCATTTGTTCTTCTGCGAAAAGTTACATCCACGTGAAATCACCGATCTTACATGAAAAAGCTTTTGGAATGAATAGTTGTTTACATTTTATTCGCGATAGTCGGCATTGTGCGGTGAGTTTCAAAGCCATTATTAGGCGAGAATAAGTAAGACGTATAGAGTAGGACCAGTGCGAACCTCTGCGAAGCAGAGGTGACGCACTGGTGAAATATAACCAGATTTCGTACAACTGTAGCAGAGCATTTCTAAAGTACAAGTAAATTGTATGGGCTCTTGAAAGACATAACGAAAAGGTTTCAAAGATTATCGATGGTCATCGCTGGTAGAGATGAGCGCTTCTGTCGAGAGTGGACTTCAGTAATGCTTCGGAACCAGGATTTGTAGGCCAATTGGTACGTCTAACATTCTGTTACACATGCATGCCTAGTGTTTGAGCGTCTGTAAGTATCTTCGGAATCTTCGGTCATATGTGGCCAGCAAGTTTGATCCCCGTCTGCGACACCATTTTTGCAGCGAGAAAAATGCTGTTTTTTGAAGAGTAGAGAATGTTTGCGACTGAGAAGCTTATTTTCTACATTCCACACTGTTTTTGATTCGGACCACTCTCTCTCAATCCCCCTCCCCCACTCCCCTTTATGACCCCCCTTGCGACAGTCGCATCACACGCTTGACCCTGATTGAGACATCAGATCTTTTTCTTGCAAGCAACAGTTAACATTTGTATAGTTGCTGTGAAGTGTCATATAATGTAGACTCTTTTGCTACTAGTAGTTCTTACATCAAGTAATAGTTTTTTTGCTTTTGTTGGAAGAACTTTGAAGTCTTCTTTCCAAAAAAAAACGCAATCGCGATACATCGCTCTCTGCATCAAATAGCAACGATTGTGCCAACAAAGCTTTTCATTGTGTGATCATCATGAAAAGAAAGCACAGTTGTGATTGTGGGCGTCACTGTTGTGTTATCATGGTTTCCGCTTTTGTTGAGGATGTTTTTAGAAATTTTCTCATGACCAGGGAATACCCTTGGACGTGGACTGCAATTGGCCCCGCGCTGTACGAAGCACGCTGGATGTTGTCGGTAATTTTTCATACATATCGGACAGACTGAACACTTTGCAGTAACACTGATATAATACTACAATGCTGGTATGTTTGCGCACTTATAACAGAAGCACTCTCTTGAATATCACTAACTTTGTTCACATTTCGATCGTGTGGTCAAGCCTCTGTCTGTTAATCTGTAGCATCAATAGCTGTGCAATGACGAATTCACACGTATGGTTACATTACGCATCAGTATTTCCGCGCGCTTCTAGTTTTTACTTCCACATTCCCTGCGCGCTGCGGTACTGTTATATGTAAAAAATTGTCGTCCCGTTGTAGCATCCCGTCCCCCGAGTAGAGCATAAAAGCGGACTTTCCAATCATCATAATTCACTATAGATTATTTGACTAGCTATCCAAATTTGGCTGTGTCATTTCGAATAGCCTTCTCAAAAACAAGCACAACCGATTACAATGTGAAAAGTCTCTACTTATTAGGTTAGAAAAAATAGCTGGAAACAGTTGCATTTATCAATTTGAAAACATTCATGCTTTGTAGATTTTAGTAGTTTGTTGCATAACCTAGTTTTGCAAGTTAGTCAAGCAAAATATGAAGAGGCAAAATACTGAACTCTCGCTTTTTAGTCATTATGTAAAGTAATAAACTTACATGCAGCAAAGCATTCTTGTACAACTCCAACTTGGTTATCATACAGTACACACATAGTAGTATTCAAAAATGCATTTGTTGGTTTTTTTCGAGCCCAATGTCAAGGAATGAAAATAGCCCAAAAATGCACAAAAAATAATTTTATCTAAATTATAATACAGATTTCATCAAGGGACTCCCTTATCAGAGTAATGCAAAAGTTCCATTCGACAAGACTTCTCCTACTTTGAAAAAATTAAGCTCAAACTGGCGCGCGCCGGGCCTTCCGACTCGCGCTGGACGACTTGTCGGTTTCTCTATCGCGTTTCAACAAGTTTTTCTAGGCTATGTCTTCCTTCTTGACATGTGTCTGACTCTGCTACCAAATGTAAGGTGGATTGGGACAGCTCGTCTGCGCTTCTACGGGGCCTGAGAAAGCGGGTTTTGGAAAGTTAAGTCAATGCGAGCCCGTGTAAGGTTATACAAGGTCGCTAAGATTTGTAAATAGCAAATATACCGACGCCCATCTGGTAAGACAATGTTTTTGAACTTGATGTTTCTGGATTAAGGGCACATAAACAAGTATAACTTCAACACTATACTTATAAGGCTTTTAGTATACAATCACAAATGGGTAGAAGCGGGGGAGGGGGGGTAACTGGTAGGACTACCCCTTTTTTCAGTTTCTATGCGCGAGAAAAATCCAGAAAGTGTTACTATGAATACCATTATGTGTATACTGTATTACGACCGTGTTGAAGGTCCGTAGCTGTTCAAAAAAGACCCTGTTTTCAGAGCAGTTGAAAAATTTTGAGTTTTTCGCTCAAAAATGCAATCACGACTTAGGTAGATCTTTGATGGCCATTGTAAAGCTTGTTTTGCTCTATCGAGTGGGCTGAAAGTCTGCAAGGAAAACAAGAACATCGTGATTTGTCTAGAAAAGCTCACTTTTGGGACATCTGCTATGTTTTGAAGCTTGTGAGATACCCTGTATATATATAAAGTGTGTGTATGTGTGTGTGTATGTAACCTCGAGTCATTTGTAACTTAATATGTGAGACTGCACACTAAGCCCTATGAGCGACGGCACCCTTACTGGTAACATTCCAGTGAAACATTTTTTAGCCTAACAAAGTGTACAAATGTGTTCTATTGACTAACATGTAATCAAGAAAAACAAAAGAGACAAGGAAACAAGCAGAAATTACTGGAAACGAGCAGGTTCTAGTTTTGTTGTTCGTCAGTTAGCGTGCTTGGTGTGCACTACACATATTAAGTTACGAATGACTCGACGATATATGTGTTGGTGTGTGTGTGTGCTGGTGTGTGTTGGTGTGTGTGTGTTGGTGCGTGTGTTGGTGTGTGTTGGTGCGTGTGTGTGTGTGTTGGTGCGTGTGTTGGTGTGTGTGTTGGTGCGTGTGTGTTGGTGCGTGTGTGTTGGTGTGTGTGTGTTGGTGTGTGTGTGTTGGTGTGTGTATGTGCTGGTGTGTGTTGGTGTGTGTGTTGGTGCGTGTGTTGGTGTGTGTGTTGGTGTGTGTGTGTGTTGGTGCGTGTGTTGGTGTGTGTGTGTTGGTGCGTGTGTGTTGGTGCGTGTGTGTTGGTGCGTGTGTGTTGGTGTGTGTGTGTTGGTGTGTGTGTGTTGGTGTGTGTATGTGCTGGTGTGTGTTGGTGTGTGTGTTGGTGCGTGTGTTGGTGTGTGTGTTGGTGTGTGTGTGTGTTGGTGCGTGTGTTGGTGTGTGTGTGTTGGTGCGTGTGTGTTGGTGCGTGTGTGTTGGTGTGTGTGTTGGTGTGTGTGTTGGTGTGTGTGTGTTGGTGTGTGTGTGTTGGTGTGTGTGTGTTGGTGTGTGTGTGTTGGTGTGTGTGTTGGTGTGTGTGTTGGTGCGTGTGTGTTGGTGTGTGTGTGTTGGTGTGTGTGTGTGTTGGTGTGTGTGTGTTGGTATGTGTGTGTTGGTGTGTGTGTGTGTTGGTGTGTGTGTTGGTGTGTGTGTTGGTGTGTGTGTTGGTGTGTGTGTGTTGGTGTGTGTGTGTTGGTGTGTGTGTTGGTGTGTGTGGTGTGTGTGTGTTGGTGCGTGTGTGTTGTGTGTGTTGGTGTGTGTGTGTTGGTGTGTGTGTGTTGGTGTGTGTGTTGGTGTGTGTGTGTTGGTGTGTGTGTTGGTATGTGTGTGTTGGTGTGTGTGTGTGTTGGTGTGTGTGTTGGTGTGTGTGTTGGTGTGTGTGTTGGTGTGTGTGTTGGTGTGTGTGTGTGTTGGTGTGTGTGTTGGTGTGTGTGGTGTGTGTGTGTTGGTGTGTGTGTGTTGTGTGTGTGTTGGTGTGTGTGTTGGTGTGTGTGTGTTGGTGTGTGTGTTGGTGTGTGTGTTGGTGTGTGTGTGTTGGTGTGTGTGTTGGTGTGTGTGTTGGTGTGTGTGTGTTGGTGTGTGTGTTGGTGCGTGTGTTGGTGTGTGTTGGTGCGTGTGTGTGTGTTGGTGCGTGTGTGTTGGTGCGTGTGTGTTGGTGTGTGTGTGTTGGTGTGTGTGTGTTGGTGTGTGTATGTGCTGGTGTGTGTTGGTGTGTGTGTTGGTGCGTGTGTTGGTGTGTGTGTTGGTGTGTGTGTGTGTTGGTGCGTGTGTTGGTGTGTGTGTGTTGGTGCGTGTGTGTTGGTGCGTGTGTGTTGGTGTGTGTGTTGGTGTGTGTGTTGGTGTGTGTGTGTTGGTGTGTGTGTGTTGGTGTGTGTGTGTTGGTGTGTGTGTGTTGGTGTGTGTGTTGGTGTGTGTGTTGGTGCGTGTGTGTTGGTGTGTGTGTGTTGGTGTGTGTGTGTGTTGGTGTGTGTGTGTTGGTATGTGTGTGTTGGTGTGTGTGTGTGTTGGTGTGTGTGTTGGTGTGTGTGTTGGTGTGTGTGTTGGTGTGTGTGTGTTGGTGTGTGTGTGTTGGTGTGTGTGTTGGTGTGTGTGGTGTGTGTGTGTTGGTGCGTGTGTGTTGTGTGTGTTGGTGTGTGTGTGTTGGTGTGTGTGTGTTGGTGTGTGTGTTGGTGTGTGTGTGTTGGTGTGTGTGTTGGTATGTGTGTGTTGGTGTGTGTGTGTGTTGGTGTGTGTGTTGGTGTGTGTGTTGGTGTGTGTGTTGGTGTGTGTGTTGGTGTGTGTGTGTGTTGGTGTGTGTGTTGGTGTGTGTGGTGTGTGTGTGTTGGTGTGTGTGTGTTGTGTGTGTGTTGGTGTGTGTGTTGGTGTGTGTGTGTTGGTGTGTGTGTTGGTGTGTGTGTTGGTGTGTGTGTGTTGGTGTGTGTGTTGGTGTGTGTGTTGGTGTGTGTGTGTTGGTGTGTGTGTTGGTGCGTGTGTTGGTGTGTGTTGGTGCGTGTGTGTGTGTTGGTGCGTGTGTGTTGGTGCGTGTGTGTTGGTGTGTGTGTTGGTGTGTGTGTGTTGGTGTGTGTGTGTGCTGGTGTGTGTTGGTGTGTGTGTTGGTGTGTGTGTGTGCTGGTGTGTGTTGGTGTGTGTGTGTTGGTGCGTGTGTTGGTGTGTGTGTTGGTGTGTGTGTGTGTTGGTGCGTGTGTTGGTGTGTGTGTGTTGGTGCGTGTGTGTTGGTGCGTGTGTGTTGGTGTGTGTGTGTTGGTGTGTGTGTTGGTGTGTGTGTGTTGGTGTGTGTGTTGGTGTGTGTGTTGGTGCGTGTGTGTTGGTGTGTGTGTGTTGGTGTGTGTGTGTTGGTGTGTGTGTGTTGGTGTGTGTGTGTTGGTGTGTGTGTGTTGGTGTGTGTGTGTTGGTGTGTGTGTTGGTGTGTGTGTTGGTGTGTGTGTGTTGGTGTATGTGTGTTGGTGTGTGTGTTGGTGTGTGTGTGTTGGTGTGTGTGTTGGTGTGTGTGTGTTGGTGTGTGTGTTGGTGTGTGTGTGTTGGTGTGTGTGTTGGTGTGTGTGTGTGTTGGTGTGTGTGTGTTGGTGTGTGTGTTGGTGTGTGTGTGTTTGTGTGTGTGTTGGTGTGTGTGTGTTGGTGTGTGTGTGTTGGTGTGTGTTGGTGTGTGTGTTGGTGTGTGTGTGTTGGTGTGTGTGTTGGTGTGTGTGTGTTGGTGTGTGTGTGTTGGTGTGTGTGTGTGTTGGTGTGTGTGTTGGTGTGTGTGTGTTGGTGTGTGTGTGTGTTGGTGTGTGTGTGTGTTGGTGTGTGTGTTGGTGTGTGTGTTGGTATGTGTGTGTTGGTGTGTGTGTGTTGGTGTGTGTGGTGTGTGTGTGTTGGTGTGTGTGTGTTGTGTGTGTTGGTGTGTGTGTTGGTGTGTGTGTTGGTGTGTGTGTTGGTGTGTGTGTTGGTGTGTGTGTGTTGGTGTGTGTGTTGGTGTGTGTGTTGGTGTGTGTGTGTTGGTGTGTGTGTGTTGGTGTGTGTTGGTGTGTGTGTGTGTTGGTGTGTGTGTTGGTGTGTGTGTTGGTGTGTGTG